TTTTTTTTTCTAGATTATAGAATTTGTACACATATACAATAAGGTATCTTGAACATAGAACCGAAGTCTAAACAAAAAATTATTTTTTGTTTCACAAATACCTTATACATAGAACTTGAAGTTAATTTTATACAATACTTTTAGTGCTCCTGAGTTTTGGCTGCAATATATCACATGAGGTCAAGTATGGAATTTTTCACTACAGCTTCATACTGGTACCCAAAAGTTTCAAATTTTGGAGCATTTCAAATTTAAGAATACAGATGTACAATCTATATTCGTATACATTCCTAGTGGCATAGTAAATTGATACAAACATTGGAAGGAAAATTCATTTTTCAAAATTTTAAATGTAGAAATTTTACATAGCTATTTCACTTCTAGAATTTATCCTCCAGACAGTCTCACCTATGTACCCAAAGATGTATATACAAATATGCTTCCCACAGCATTTTTGAAACAATACAATAATGGATCTAATTTAAATATCCCTTAATAGAAGACTCGTTAAGTGAACTAAGACAAATCCAAACCAAAGAATTGTAAACATAACGTAAAAAACACGTAGTGTATCTTGCCAATCAATGACCCCGACTGATCATTGACTTTTGAAAGCCTGAGTCTCCAGCCTGCTGGCCTCCTCTGCTAAAGTGGGATTTTCCAAGCTCCACAATTCATTCTCATCCTGAGCATGTTGCTAAGGTATGCCTCCGCTAGGTAATCCACACTGCTCTGTGACTTCTCCCAGCTTCAAGCTACATAGAAAGGACTCTGAGAGACCCTCAAACCATGCAATGAAATGTGAAAGATGTGACAAGAGAAAATGGTGGAGTGGTGAGCAACAATGTATCAGCTTCTCCAAGATTCAGGAATCTAGACACTGGAAACTAACAATTTAGGGAAGAAAAGAAGAAAGGAAGTGGACTCCTAAAAGCCAAGAAAGATCTGACAGGAAAATTCGAGCCTACAGAGAAATTGAAGAGACAGAACACAATTCAGAAAAAAAGAAGGAACAAGCCGCACTTTCTCCCTGGCTCCTTATTTACAGCACAAGAGAAGGTAAGATTGAATCTACAAGACACAGAGAAGTCAGATCAGTGAATGCTGTCTGCTGCAACAACTGATAAGTGACTCCATTCCAAGTGCCTGCTATATCCCAGAGAGAGAGTGGGTAGACAACAGTCCAGGGAGTGGTTTGCTGAACCCAGGACTCAGAGCAGCGAGGGGGTTGGCTTGATTTCTGGGTTCCCTATGTTAGGATCCTACAGTGACTAGATGAGGAAGAGTGATGGGAAGTAACTATGGTCCAGGAGCCATGGTCAGTCTAGCAAGAGACTTGTTGAAAAGTTTGTAAGCTAAACAGCCCAGGCCCCATATCCATGGGCAGAGGCCAGGCTCAGCCTAAATTGCTGTGGAATTGAAAATCCCAAAATCCCAAAAAAGCTCTCCCTAATACCACCGTCTGCTTGCTGGTAACTGCATACAGCACAGATCTGGGGTCTAGTTCCCTTCTCTACCTACTGTGTTTCCCAAAATATAACACCAACAAAAAAATAAGCACTATCTGGTCATTACCATGTTGATGGCCAGTGTCAAATATAATATTATACCCCATTATTCTCTTGATCAGCAGTTATTCTGTAAAGGCAAGTAAAGCAAAGATAGGCTGATTGGGCCTGGCATTCTTAATCTGTAGTTTTCAAGACTAATTATTTTCTGGTTAGGTCTTATTTTTAGGAAAACGAAGTACCAGCATGAGGAGGACACATCTTGAATTAGACACTGTTCAAAAACTATAGAGCCCAGAAGAAAATCACACCTTTGAAAACACAGAGAATTTGTCTTTTGTTCTTTCTTTTGAGTGTGTGTTGTTTTTGTTTTGTTCCATTTTTTAAAATTATTATTATTTTCTTCTTTCCTTCCCTCCTTTCTTATTAGTTTCCTGGGACTTCAGAAAGGTTCATTTGTCCTTCTGCCTTGCTTCTTACATCTTTTACTTACTTCTTTTTTTCTCTCTCTATTTTTTCATCTTCTCCCTTTATTTCTCCCTTTGATTTACTCTCTCTGGAATTTATTTTTTATTTCTCTTTTTCTTACACTACCATGTCTTGATAGTTTTTTTTTTCTCTCTTACCTATACCTAATTCTATAAACATCCTTCTATTCCCCTAATAACATCCTTTGTATAATCTCTCCTCTTTCTCATATGATAGTTTTTCTTTTCCATTAAGTTTATTGGTTCATTTTAGGTATACATTCAATTACATTCACCATTAGGATCTTGAATATTTACAAGATGTATCTTGCTTCTTATATTTTTCCCCATACCCCTGCTCTCCCTTCACCTCCTCCACCCCTCCCTATTTACAAAGACTTTGTTTCCATGTATTTCCTTTTCTCATATTTTTTCTTTTCCCATCTTTTCTTTACCCTATCCCTTCCACTTCCCCTACTCCTTTAGATGTCTTCTTCCTATTTCACAATATCAATTATATATTTTGATCCTTATTTACACTTTTACTCTTTCACACCAGAGAAACTATTCAGTATTTACACATGTGTGTCCTATTTATTTCACTTAGGCGTATGGCCTCATTGTGCATCCACTTAGCTATAAATGTCTCTAATTTCTCATTCTTTGTGGTTGAGTAATACGCCATTTTATAAAACACAAAAACACAAACAAATCTTCTTTATCCAGTCTCCAGTTGATTGGTAATTTGGCTGTTTCCAAGTTTTAGCTACTACAAACAGTACTGCTATTCATATGATAGAGTTTAAGGTATCCAAGTTTTCCTCTTGCATTCCTCCATTCCCAAAACAAGCATCTTTGATAATATAACCATAAAGCTTTGTTATTCTTTTCATAGTTAATGTGATAAAATTACTGTTGAGTTCTTCTCTACCATTAGAGAAGATATAACTGTTGTATTTAGCACATATAAGCTGTTGTCAACACCTGAAATGCCTTAGTGTTTACATCATAATCACTGATTTCTTCTCTAGGTTTAAGTTCTTATGGCATGAATATCTAATTCATCTTGGATGATACTACTGTACCTTATTCAATTGACACTAATAATGTTGCAAAATTGCCGCTACTTCTCTGTAAAGGTAACACTCAGATTATCTTCATGGCATAATAAATGGTAAATGAATACATGAAAAAATGTTCAACATCTCTGGACATTTGAGAAATACAAATTAAAACAACCCTGAGATTCCATCTCACTTCAGAAAGAATGGCTAGCATTAAGAAATCAACCAATAACAAAGGCTGGTGAAGCTATGGAGAAAAAGGAACACTCCTTCATTTTTGGTGGGAGTTTAAAATGATACCAACACTATTGAAATCATTATGGTGAATTCTCTAAAAAAATTAAAACTAGGAATTCTATTTGACCTGGATATTCTCCTTCTAGATATCTTTCCTGAAAGAGTTAAAGTCATACCACTGTTGTGTGTGTGTGTGTGTGTGTGTGTGTGTGTGTGTGTGTGTATACATGTCTTTACAGCAGCAGAATTAATAATAGTCAAATCTAGGAAGCAAGTTATATGTCCATCAACATATGAAAGGATAAAGAAAATATTGTATTTATATACAATTGAGTACTACACTGCCATACTGAAGGATAAACAAGAGTCACTCGTAGGAAAATGGATGCTCCTTGAGACCATAATGTTAAGTGAAGTAAATCAGATACACAAACTTAAATGAGGCAAAGTTTCTCTTATATGAACAATTCAATAGGTAAATAAATTATGAAAAAGAAGACGTATAATAGGAGAAAATAAGTTATTGCAATCTAGCATGGAAACAGTATCTAAAAATGTAAATTGTATTAAAAAATTTAAATCTAAAAACCCCACACAAAATACAACATAAATTACAAGCTCATATGCAATAAACTAAATATATTTACAGCAGGTAAAGAACAAAAGCCAATGAATGATAAATATCATAACCTTCTAAAGGTACAAAATATTCCTAAGAGATACTGTGAGAAATCAACAAAATTCTCTGTAGAAGTTGTTAAGTTCGGGACTGTGGAAAGTCACTCTTTATTTTCCTTTTTTTTAAAAACTATGCATCTTTCATTTTTAAAATAAATGATGACATGAATCCTTTGGTGCAAGCATGAATACACTGCTATAAAAATGTATCAATTTAAAAAGTTATTATAATAAATGCTGATCTCTGGATCATTGAAGAAACATTTAACTGTGAAGTTTAACATATCAAATAAGAAAAAAAAAGTGAAAATTCTTCAAAATAGTATAATCACCCCAGATTTCTGTGTTAATTACAATGCCAAATATGAATGAACCACAGTAATTAGTTATGAGAATGAGAAGTTACCTGAAAATGACATGTGAAACACACAAGACATTATGGATCTAAACATAAACATTGCTTTCTACTATTAAATCATTAAACACATTTAGTGGGTATCAGATTTTGTTAACAATCCCAAAAATCTACTCATAACTAAAATGCAAAATTTCCTGGAATGAAAACTGGTAATACAAAAATAGTGGGAAACACTACATAGTCCATATGACCCTAATCTTACTTCAATCTCATGAAAACTTGTGCATCGTTAGAATCACTATATCATTTTTTCTTAATGAATCAGCAAATCCATACGCTCTGCTTTCAGTCAAAATTAAAATTTCGTAATTATATATATAATACATGTATTAAACAATACAAGTAATTTCTATTTTA